CTCTGTCACCCAGTCTAGAGTACAGTGGCGCAATCTTGGCTCACTGCAACCTCTGCCTCCCGGGTTCAAGCAGTTCTTCCGCCTCAGCCTCCCGAGTAGCTGGGACTACAGGTGCATGCCAGCATGCCCAGCTAATTTTTGTATTTTTAGTAGAAACAGGGTTTCACCATGTTGGTCAGGCTGGTCTCAAACTCCTGACCTCGTGATCCGCCCGCCTCGGCCTCCCAAAATGCTGGGATTACAGGCGTGAGCCACTGTGCCCAGCCTACATTTTACTCTTAAAACAAAAAGTGAACTCTTTAAAAAGAAGCTTGTATATGGCATTTAATAAGAATAAACAAAGCCACCTCCTCCCCAGTGGCTTTGAGCCTGTAACTTAGGTTTAAGACAATTGTAATTGATAATTTAGCATGTTGACTTCAGAAAGTCGCAAGATCCTCTGGCCATAAAACAAAGATTCATTAAGGCTCAACATATTCTATAGTGCTTAGTAAAGACTTAATACAGATAGTTTAGAATCCTGTTGGAGTTTTTATGAAAATATATTCCACCTTAACTGTAACTCTCTCATACTTTTTTGCTGTAGCATTTGCTGGAAATTATCACCTTATTTACATGCACGGCCTCTTCTGCTTCTTCCTTCTTTCTGTCATTCTCTCCCCTGAGGAGAGACCCAATTCATTTTTAGCAGGCAACTTTTGAGGATGCTCATTCACTGATTTCCTTTCTCATTCCAATTCCTAAAAACTATTTGCTTTTATCATTGGATTCTTTGTGCGTTTTTTTTTTTTTTTTTTTTTGAATCGGAGTCTCATGCTGTCGCTTAGGCTGAAGTGCAGTGGTGTGATCTCAGCTTACTGCAACCTCCGCCTCCCAGGTTCAAGCGAGTCTCCTGCCTCAGCCTCCTGAGTAGCTGGTACTACAGGTGCGCACCACCATGCTCAGCTAATTTTTGTATTTTTAGTAGAGAAGGGGTTTCACCATGTCGGTCAGGCTGGTCTCGAACTCCTGACCTCAGGTGATTCACCCGCCTCGGCCTTTCAAAGTGTTGGGATTAATGGGCGTGAGCCACTGCACCCAGCCTACTGGGAATTCGAATAGGCAAAGGGTAGGAGAAAGGGCAGTAGGGTAAAAAGTTTGTTTCAGTTTTTACAAATGTGTCACTATCATTTGTAGTTCCATTTCGTTAATGTTAACTGATAACATACAAAAATAGTAAAGCAGCAAGTGAATCTTTGTTTTTGTTTTAGAATAAAACTGATTTTACAGATTGTGGTTTTACATATATGAAGCACGTTTTCCTCCTGTGTTCATTCAATTCCTCCAATGTTTATTTGACTAGCAGTATATAGAAAACATAAGAATACCGTGAAGTAGACACTAAAGATGTATGGATTTAATAAACATGAAATGTGACATAAAAGGATGGGTTTCATGGAGATTTTACCTTTTCCTCAAATATCAAATCTTTTAATGTTCAACTTGACTTTTATGTGTTCTTGAGCTTTTTGGTTATTTAATTTACTAAATGATTTGCTTTTGAATACAGTCAGCTCTCAGCAAACCAACTTCTGAATGAAGGCCAGATATTCCCTCTCTCACCATGGTCTTTTTGTATTTGTCCTTTAGGAAAGGAAAACTGATTATAATGTCTGTCCAAGCAAATAACCTGAATGTGAATCTGATACACAGCAGAAAGAAGGAAAGGCTAAACATATAAAGCATTTCAAAATAAAATTATTTGTGGATTGCCCATTGTCCTATGTCATGAGAATGACTGACTGAAAGTTGGCTGTATTTAGAGACAACAATTAAATACTATACTTTGTACTGACTTCCTTTAAAGTTTAAAATGACCTCCTTTAAATGTTTAAAGAGAGCCCAGAAAAGTAATGATAATAAATTGAAAGGTCCTATTGTTCTTCTGACGTAATTATTACTTTATCTCTCCTGGAAGCTAAGCGAAGCCAGTCTATCAGCAACTGTGTCCACCTTTCTGAGGCTTTGCCTGCCACTAAAAGCGTCCCGCTCCTCCTTCACACCGTGAGCGCTCTCTTACCTGGTCTCTCTTACTCTTCTTGCTCTCACAGGCTGTCAGGTACTGTAACACTGTCTCATGTGTCCATCACTGTTCCCGGGCTTCTCCGGCTTGCCTCTGGGACTTGCTTCCTTTGTTAATATCCCCACATGACACACGTGCCTCACCATTACAGTAGTGTTAAATTGCAATGAATACTAGTAATTACTTTTGTGTAGTTAGATGCTTGGTGGCAATTAGATAGTTAAGAAAAATATCTGTAACTTTGGTCTTGGCAATAACAATTAAAGAGGATAGAAGGGTTTTTAAGTCCATAGCTATTTAATAGGGGGAAATGTGATGCCTGCCTTAGTGTGTCTTCTATACAGTACCCATAGAAAGTAAGGGGATTTTCATAAAAGTTTTGAACATGTCAGTATTAGAGTGCTTGCTATGCCTTCCAAAAAATGAATAAACTAGAAAAATGTATGTAGGCGGGATCTACTTGGAGTTAATAAATCATATATGTGAAGTAATGACCAGTTATGTGGATTCACACGGACTATTGAAATTTGAGTGAAAAAGGACCAGTGCCAAAAAGCAGTAATTTCCAAAACAAAGAAATGTTGTTCTTGTACTTCAGCCAATTAAAATTGAATTTAGCCATGTGTGATTTACACACAGTACCTTTTTTATTATGACATCATACCACCAAAAGTCATTTTTGGCCTAGTTACTTCAACAGGAGAATTTACCTTTCTCTATATTGAATAATTAGGTCTATGTTTATTTATTTTTCAGTGATTCTAGGATGAACTGAATCTTCTTCCTTAAAAGAGAAAGATCATTTTCATGATCTTTTTTGTTTTCAGAAATCTGGCATTGTAGATTAGTATTTTTTGTTGTTGTTGTTTTTGATTTTTTTGAGACAGAATCTCTCTCTGTCACCCAGTCTAGAGTACAGTGGTGCAATCTTGGCTCACTGCAACCTCTGCCTCCCGGGTTCAAGCAGTTCTTCCGCCTCAGCCTCCCGAATAGCTGGGACTACAGGTGTGTGCCACCACACCTGGCTAATTTTTGTGTTTTTAGTAGAGATGAGGTTTCACCATGTTGGCCAGGCAGGTCTTGAACTCCTGACCTCGTGACCCACCCGCCTCAGCCTCCTAAAGATTCGTATTTTTTTTTTTTAACACTGGAGATAACCTAATTGTGGCTTTCTGTAATACTAAATTATGTCATACCGTGTTTTAGCAAAGCAAAATGAAAGCTTAAGTTCTCTGATGGCTATGTAAATACCATATTACTTTATAGAATTTAGGGGAAGAAGTTTTACCAAGAGTGAGGACTATAATGTTTCTTAGAAAACTCTTTTTCTCCAGTAACTATTAAAGGAGAAAAACAGTAAGAATGGTACATGGGAAAATGGTCACTAGTCAGTTAAATTACTGTTGAGTTTTAACTGCCCGATTATTTGGTTTTCAAAAAAAAGCTATTGTTTAGAGATGATTAATAAAGTATTTAAAATCATTGTACCCCCTGTTTGGCTAATATACACCCCAAATGAATTTTTTCATGTTGATAAGTTTTCTCATGTCACAGTCCATTTTTTTCTATATTTTGTTTCTCTTAAGTTTTTCCCTAGTTTGTCCAGAACATGTTCCCACAAGAAATCTCTTCCAATTAGTGATTTAATTTTGGAAGCTTTTGTTCTCATTCAATATTACATTTTATTTTACTAAGACTCTTGGTTCCTGTATATATGTATACAGTTCCAAATGAATGAAGTTAAATATGATTTAGAGCAGTGGTTCTCAATTGGGGACAATTTCAACAATGCCAGGAGACATTTTTAATTGTTACACGTGGGACAGTGCTAGTGGCAGCTTGTGGGTGCAAGTCAGGAATGCTGCTGAATAGCTTGCAATGCACAGGACAGCTCCCAAATGAAGAATTGTCTGGTCCAAAATACCAGCAGTGCCGAGGCTGAGAAATCCTAACTTAGAGTGAAATCAAGTGGCCTAGACTTGGTCTGAGTTTTCCTGCCTTTGCCATCTTTGTTCTTGATTTTGTAGCACAAAGGGTAAAAGAACTTCAGAGTACAGTGACTTTGAGAACAACCTGCCATTCTCTTTTTCACCTGACAACTATGATAGTGAGCTTCTTAGCCTGAGGCCATTGGTTCTTTACTACTTAAAATGATGCCATTGTCCTTTATGACTGTCCTATCCAGAGACTGACCCAAGGGCAGATTGTATATTCTCCGCTGGTTGGCACGTTAGAGTATTGAATTTGCCCTCCAATTTAAATCCTAGTGTGTAGGCATATCCCATCAACCTACTGCTAGATAATGTAACACTTAATTTTACTTTCTGGCCACAAGTTCTTTACCCTATCAATGATTGCTAATTTTGTTTACATTTAAGTTAACTTTTTTTGTTTTTGTTTCTAATCTATATGACTAGTCAACCCACCAAAATTGTTTTAATAATATAAGCAATAGACAATTACTTACTTTTAGCTATGATTGTATCATTTTCTGATCTTTTTGGGACTATTTGGCGGCAGCAGCAGAATTTTGGGTGGGTTGTTTGTATTCTGGGAGGAAGAAGTGATGTTTGTATTTTGGAGTCACAACCAACTGTTTCCATTAACATGAACAGCTACATAAAGAAATACAGTTGGGGAGGTAGGACTGGCACTTTTTGTGATTTCCTTTCCCCCCACCCCTTGGTGAGAACAGTTCTTTCCAGCTGTTCTATAATTTTTTTTTTTTGAGGTGGAGTCTTGCTCTGTACCTCAGGCTGGAGTGCAGTGGTGTGATGTTGGCCCACTGCAACCTCCACCTCCTGGGTCCTGGTTCAAGCATTTCTCCTGCTTCAGCCTCCCAAGTAGCTGGGATTATGGGCACGCCATGCACAGCTAACTTTTTGTATTTTTAGTAGAGATAGGGTTTCACCATGTTGACCAGGCTGGTCTTGAACTCCTAACCTCGTGATCTGCCCGCCTCGGCCTCCCAAAGTGCTGGGATTACAGGCGTGAGCCACCACGTTCTGTCTGTTCTACAGTTTTAACTGCTTTTTAGGTTGAAACGTTTATCAATCTGTAGCACTTAATAGGCCATACAGATGGTAGATGTTATTTTTCTTTTAGGAATATTGTAATAGTAGTAATGAGAGTACTGTAATGAGAGTAATGTAATCAACAATCTCCCCTTATTCTAATAAAACATACTGGAATGGTATGGCAAACCTTGCCTCGCTCCTTCTGCATCTGGTTTGTGTGCTTCTAGGAAGTGCTTTGTTGTCAGGACCTGGTCTGATTTACCCATGGGAAGTTTGATCTTGTGGGAAGCTTCAAGATGCTGAGTTGATATGCATTTCCTGTGCTTTTTATAGGATCAGATTGGTATCATTCATGGTGTTTTCAAAATTAGGAAATTATATTTATTTTGCTTATGCAACCTTGTACAAGGGATAAATGGAACTCAGAATTTTGATTATTGAAGAATGAGCCTCACTGCACTTACTAAATGTAAGACTGATTAATGAAGCCTTAAAAAGTGAGTGAAATTGCTATGAAAAATAGTTAGAGATCTGGAAAAAAATAGAAGTTACTGAAGAGCTTACACACTTAATTTAATTTGATCGCACTGCCTTTCTCAGTGAAAAAAACCTGAAATTTAGTAATCCTTATTTGATCGTTTTCAGGTGATTTGAAAGGAGCTTTAGAAAGTGATAGTTTAGGCCGGGCGCAGTGGCTCACGCCTGTAATCCCAACACTTTGGGAGGCCCAGGCAGGCGGATCATGAGGTCAGGAGATCGAGACCATCTTGGCTAACATGGTGAAACCCCATCTCTACTAAAAATACAAAAAATTAGCCGGGCATGTGCCTGTAGTCCCAGCTGCTCGGGAGGCTGAGGCAGGAGAATGCTATGAATTCAGGAGACGGAGCTTGCAGTGAGCTGAGATCACGCCACTGCACTCCAGCCTGAGCGACAGAGCGAGACTCCATCTCAAAAAAAAAAAAAAAGAGTTTAGTAATGGTATTGTGTAACTTACACTGTCAAGAGATGAGAAAGTTAGTGCTTTTAAAATCTGGGCAGTTGGGACTAGCTAGGCTTTAGAGAGAGTACCTTATTTGGTGAATCTGAGATAGAACTTAGCTCTTTGAAGTGATTTAAACAAATTACGTGACATTCAAAAATAGATCTAGGATTTATTATGTAATTTTAATGTAACTGATAACATTCTTTCTCTATTTTAAGTATCAGCTAATCCTGTCTTTTGGTATTTGCATATCACTGTTAAAATGATTTTCATTCGTTATGAAAGAGCAACTGCTAACAGCTGACCCCATAGAATGAGAGCAGCTTTAACATAAATTGCTCTTTCTTAAATAAAATGCCAGCAGAGGGAGCCCAAGAACTATTTAAAAAGGAAAAATAGTATAAAGAAAATGTTTCTGTCATTCATGTGTTCATTTATACAAAACATGTATTTAATATAAAGTATGAGAAAATCCCAATAAATATGCCATTACGAATCAGGAAATTGGGTTTAAATTGTGGGATAAGGAGAATTGAAAATTCTGTTTTTACAGCGTCTCAATTGATAGTCAACTACAGGAGTAGCTCAGGGCACCTACAACACAACAGCACACTGAAGCATCATGGCTCTCCCCTTCCTTCCCACTCAATCAGGAGTGCTCCCGCCCTGCCACTGACTGCTATTCCAAAAGGCTTGGACTTTCTCCGTCTGATAAGTCCCTCCTGACAGTTTTATAAAAACAAAGCCTTAAAAGCTGCACTAGGCCAGCCTGTTGGGAAGGCAGACCAGCTGGTGGTGGCAGGCTCTTCATCCATCTGCTGCGTTGAGGACCAGTGGGGACACTCTAATTTGGAAGCAATGGTGCTGTGGCTATATTTCATCCCACCAGATGGCGATGTTCTTTATCTTTAGGCAGATGCTGCCAGTGTTGGCTCAGCCCTTATTTGCTCCTGCTCATAGCCCAGAAACCAACATCTATCCGTTTTTGGCATCAGGCTTCAGAGACTAACTCTTCCCACTATCCATAAAAAATGGCATTTGCCAATTATATTTTAGAAAGTTAGGAAGCTCTTGGGCTCCCCCTACTGATACTGGATTAACCAGTAGATTCATTAACAAATATAAACTCTTCCCAGAAGGTTTCAACATCCTGCATAATTAGAATAAACAATTAGAGAAGACAGCCGGAAGGGCTGCCCCTATGGTGTTATTTGCCTTCTGTTGCTGAAGGCTGAAGAGGCTAGAAATAGATCTGTGAGAAGGACGTAGTCTATACTTTGGGATGTGTAGGTAGATTAAAAATTTGCACATATGCTTTGTGTTTCTCTATAGAAAAATGAACAGTACTTGGCTGTTCAAAAGAAGAGGAAGGCAAAGACAACCTGGGAAACATGAGGCTTTAACGTATCTGTCTTTTCTTGCTACGTTGGCCTATCTTTGCTTGTACTCCAAACACAGTTTCCCACCAGCATCTCAAGTTAGACTATGGGCTGGGCACCATGGCCTATGCCTGTAATCCCAGCACTTTGGAAGGCTGAGGTGGGTAGACTGCTTGAGACCAGCCTAGGCAACATGGCAAAACCCCGTCTCTGAAAAGACTGAAAATTTTTTGGGTATAGTGGCATGCACCTGAACTCCCAGGTATTCAGGTGGGTGAGGTGTGAGGATCAGTTGAGCCAGGGGAGGTCCAGTGTGCAGTGAGCTGTGATCACAACACTGCACTCTAGCCTGGCAACAGAGCAAGGCACTGTCTTTAAAAAAAAAAGTAAATTGATAAATTTTTGTAAGTGAAGGATCACACAAATTTCATAGTTTTGAGGTCTTGTAACCATATCAGCATACTATAAAATACATTTTCATTTGGATAGAAACAATAAAACAGAAACCCTTTGTTGAAATTGTCTGTATTAAATTTAGAATCTTCCTACATACTTCTTGTTTAAGATGAGCCATCAGTTTGCCTTATGACTTAGATTAAAGGATTATACAGAGGGTGGCCAATTGGCAGTGAGTTTCCATTTCAGGTGACAAACCAGGTGACCCAGCCAGTTAAGATAATACAGGATGAGTTTTGATCATTCTCTTCTTAGTAGTAGTAATGAGCAGATGAAAAATTTTGGAAAAGACTTTATTCTAGTTATGTGGGTGTAAAGTTTTATGACTACGTCAGTGACTGTGGAATCTAGTGAGAAACAGAGCTATGGGGCTTACATGCAGGGCCAGGGAGCAAGTCCTGTAGGGGATATTCCCAGGGCAGCACGGCAAGGAGGGATGAGGGAGCAGGTTTGCCTTTATCATAGGGGAGTGAACAGCAGGAAGAAGAGAGTAGTAGCAGGTGCCAACTGGGTTAGTACTACTGGAGACTAAAGTGAGCTAGAGTACTTTGCAAGCGGATCAGTATGTCCTGTGAGATCAAGGAAAGCCCATATTCACCCTGACTAGCATGTTTGACAACTCTCTAATAAGAGAGGGCATTGTTGGGTTTTAAGAGGAGTGGCACAGCCAGATCTTTATTTTAGAGGGACCATGGAGAGGATAAATATGAAGGTGGTAAGAAGAGGGGGACAGTGATTAGTGATTAGTTAGCAGACTGTTACAACAACCTATGTAAAAGGTGGTGCAACCCTGAAGCTGTGACTCTAGACAGAGAGGGTGGGGTGATAATTCCAGTGCCTTGGGTGGTCTTTAGAGATTAAAGTGTACTGTGCAGTTTAGAAATGAGCTAGGGGGAACTCATTCTCTAGGGGAAACTCATTCTCTAGGGGAATATAGCTTGTAATAATACTGAGATTATCCTGTGGTCCCTACCCAGCTATGGTTTTCTATTTTATGTCTCTTACATATTGTTTTTCTACAAATACCTGTGGATCATTCTGTACTTTAGAGAATAATTCAACATTGCATTTGATGAAATAAGCCATTATATCACTATAGCATTTTATTTTGGACAGTTGGGCACTTACCTGTTAAAAAGGAATAATGCAGTAGAAATTTCCATGTTTCCTTTCATCTTCCTTTAGGGTGTGTGTGTGTATGTGTGTGTGTGTGTGTGGTTTTTTGTTCTTCTCAAATGTATGTTATTCATTCTGTGCATCTCCTAGATCTCTCTTTCCTTGGCATGCCTGGCCCTGAAATTCCAAATGACTTTTACAGTTCTTAACTTATTATTGTGGCTTTTTTCCTTTACTTTGATTGAAAAATAAACGACCTTATAGAACTTAAGTGGAAAATGTATTCTTGGAGTAGAATATTAGGGGTTAGTAAGTATAGGAAACTTGACGGTATAAATGCAGATTATCTGACTATAAATTATTTGTGAAAAGCATTTGAAACTTTATTTTTTAAATCGGTTGTTTTAAGTGGTGAATGTGTTTTTAAAATCTTGAACTGTAACCTTGCATGTTTTGTGTTAATGCTAACAGAAGTAGAGGAGTGTCAACAGTCAGAAAATGCATCTGCAGCCGGATCTGTCTGTCTCACGGTGGGACAGCAGCAGCAGGTCCTTCGGAGCAGTAGCACCTCCGACATCCCTGAGCCGCTGTGCTCAGATTCTTCTCAGGGTACGTGGTATATTCAGTAATTAATACAGAACTATAGATTCTGGCAGAGGAATAAAAGCTGCATATAGTATTGCTTTGTACATGTATTCTAAATATATTTGTTTCAAGGGAATTACCTTTTTAATTTGGAAGGATGTGATTTATGTCAATGAAATATTTGCACTATTTAAACATGTTTATCTAAATTATTTGTATGTATCTGTATGTAGATATATACCCACTTTTTTAAAGGTTGGCATGTTTGAGGACTAGACAGGAGTCCAAGTGGCCGGAGTAGAAGGAAGACAGAGACTGTTACAACATGAAGTCAAGTAGGGCATCAAATTAGGTATTGTAGAAGGCAGAGAGGCAGGATGGGGGCAGGGACGTAGGGAAAGGGCTGTGAGAAGAGCTGTTAAAGTTGAAAATGAGAATGGAAAGCTGACCAGACTTGTGAAAAAGTTTATTAGCAGCTTACCGACTCTGCTGAGGTTGAAAATAATAACTTTTAATAGCATTAATCTACACGATTTCACCAACAACTTGCAGCAACAACAGGGTGTGGAAAGCAAGGAGACAGATGGTTTGACCTGTAAACAGTGGATGATAGATTTGTCAGTGAAAGTGTGTGCTTAAAGTGTGTCTAGTGGACATAGTTACTCTGTTTTGGTGTCATGAATTAATTAGGAAATCAACCCTACATATCAACAAGTTATCTCATATCTTTTAATGTCAAGGTCATGCTAGTCTCATCAGATGAGTGGAGAATTATTCTCTCTTAGAAATCCTCTGGAAATAAGAAAATACAGAAAAAGCTTCAGAAAATGTATTGTCTGAAAGGTTTTTGAAAGGTTTTATATAAGACTATTATTTTTTTTTCGTACATATTTGGTAGAAACTACCAGTTGCCTGAATTTTTCTTGTAGGAATGTTTTAAATTATCATTTAAATTTTAAGAAAATTTCAATTATGGAGGAGGAATAAGTTCAAGAGATCTGTTGTACAATATAGTGACTGTAATTTGTAACAGTGTATTGTATTCTTGAAAATTGCTGAGTAGTTTTAGTGTTCTCACCACAAAAAAGAATGTGATACATATTAATTAGCTTAATTTAGCCATTGCACAGTGTATACACACATTTCAAAACAACATGTTATACACATTACATTAATACAATTTTTATATGTTAAGTTAAATTTTAAAAGTTAAAATAGTTATAGGACGATTTAGATTTTCCTTTTCTTGTTTTGACTTTGATAAATTATGTTTTTCTAGAAACTTACTCATTTTTTTTTCAAATTTATTGGTCCCAGATTATTCATAAAATCCTCTTATGATCAGCTTTAGTGTTTTCAGGCTTTGTGATGATATTCCATTTTTTATTACTGAAACTGGTTATTTGTGCTCTCGTCAATCTTTATTCTCAAGCAATACTGAGACACCTTACTGCTCTCTTCTTCCTGTTGGTTCATCTGGCCAACACAGGCACCTTTTCTCTGAGATACCTTCCCCAAGACCCCAGGAAGGGTTTTGTTGCCCTTCCCTGTGCACACATAAATGCACTAAGTGAACCTGTTGGCCACAGTGAACAGTAATCAATCCACTCTCTTCATAGCTCTCTGTGGGCCAGAGACCAGGTCTAAAGTATGGGCTTGACCCATAGGCTGCTGTTTTGCCAGGCCCTTAATTCCTGTTTTTACATATCTTAGAATGTTTAAATTTAATAGTTACCTATATATAAAATCATTTTCCAGTTTTATTATCTGAAACATTCCTTCTACCTATTTCCGCTACCCCCCTGCCCCACCATTTCTAGGTCAAAAGGCAGAAAACACACAGAATTTGAGTTCTTCAGAGCCTCAGCCTATTCAAGAGAATAAAGGACATGTGAAGAGAGAACATGAAGGAATAACAGTAAGATACTTTCAAACCATTTCAGTTTCTCATTAAAAATAAACATTAATTAGTGCTCAGTAAGTAAATTTATTGGTGGCAGTGATAATTAAAATACTTTTTCTGTTTAGACAGTTTATAGGCTCAAATGATGTTGAGATCTTTTAAGATTTTGCTTGCTTTCTATGTAAAATTACAGTCACATTACAAAAATAGGAAAAAAATTAACATGAAAATGGAGTTCAACAGCTGGTCTGTGTATGGCATTATATATTTTTAAGCAGTTACCTTTGCCTGCTAAACCTGTGTTTCAGATTCCCCATTCCTGATATCAGTTTAGGTAGCCTCCACCTGACATGAGTTACTAGAATCAGTGAGTATTCACAAAGATGTTAGGTTTCTTTAAAAAAATAAAATAAAATGGAATTTATGTAAATATGTATAAAGTATAAAGAAGAAAATTAAAACATAAGCCCATAACTCATTCATGTAGATAACCCCTATTCATTTTTTTTTTTTAATGTAGCATATATTCTTTGAAAATTCAAACATCACAGAAAGATACACAATAAAAAAGGGAGAGCCTCTCCTTGCTCCCCTCCCACTGGACAATAACCCATGTTAAGTTTCTTTTTTCTTTATTTTTAAAAAGGGCATGTACTGGTTTACATCTGTATATTCTGTTTTCAACAATGAAATAAATACCCAGAAACCCACCATCAGCTTCAGATCATTTTGGCTTCTACGCTCCTTTCTTGTTCCTTCTCTCTGCTGGCTCCCCTCAGAGAGTGGCCTTATCTTGGCTTTGTGTTCATTATCCCCTTGCCTTGCTCTATAGTTTTGCTATATAAGTATGTATCTCTAAACAGGATATTCTTTAGTTTTCCTTACTTTTGAATTTTTTAATAAAGTATTGTTGCTTTGTTTACTCAGTTACATATTTTTAAGATTTATTCACGTTGTGCCATGTAGCAATAGTTCAAGTTTTCTGTGATGTGGTATTCCAGTATAAGTAGACCACAGTTTATTTTTTCTTTCTCTTGTTGGTTGATGTTTAGATTGTTTCCAGCTTTTTGTTTTTGTGAAAACTGTAGCCATGTACATTCTTGTATGTGTTTTACTATCTGCATGTTTAATGTTTTCTCTATGATGGCTGTCTAGGAACAGAATTAATGAATTATATAATGAAAGAATGTTCTTCTTTATAAGATAACCCCTGTTCTCTAAAGTAGTTGCATCACTTATATTTTAGCCAGCATTGTGTAGAGCCACCATTGATCTGCATTCTTGCCAACACGTTCTATTATCAGATTTTTTCATTTTTATTGGTCAACTGGGTGAAAATAAGATGTCTTATTTTGCGTTTCTTAGCTACTAATAAGGTTAAAAATCTCTATGTGTTTATGGCCATTTTTGTTTCATCTATGAAATGCCTACTGATGTCTTTGGTTGTTTTTCTATTTTGGTCTTTTTCTTTATTTATATTTACTAGTTTTTGTACGACTCTGAGTACTGATCCTATTTTGTTTATGTTTGTAGCAAATATCTTCTTCCAATATATGGTTTCTATTTTTACTTTATGGTATCTTTTGATGAACAGAAGTTCTTCATTTTGATACTCTCTATTATCATTTTTATTTTTGGGGTCTTACGGAATTTTTTAAAAGTCTCAACTAGACAGGAATAAAAATATTACCTTATATTTGTAAATGTTTCAGGTTTGCTTTCCAAATTTAAGTCTTTATCCATTTGGAATTGATTCTGTTTATGGAGGGGAAGTAGGGATCCAATTTCATTTTTTTCCTGCATAGATAACTACTTGTGTCAGGTCCTATTTATTGAATTCATTTTTCTTTATTGATCTGAAATGCCACCTCTCTTTCATATATGCTATTTCCAAGATATGTAAGGCCTCCTTTTGGTGTTTATCTTGATTCTTGGTTACTTTGTCTTCAGACAGCACAACATCTCAGTTAATATAGTTTTCCCACCTCTGTCTCCCTTTTCCTTCTAACGGAAGTTATTTTTCTATAATCTTTTGTCTTTCATTGTTGCTGAGAAGTCTTCTGTCCATCCGGTCCTGTCTAGTTATTGTTCCTTGCTGTTTTTGTTTATTTTTGTCCTTTTCCTTCCATTTCACTATAGTATATTCAGGTGCAGGAATCTTTTGGGTTCATCTATTTGTTTTTTGGTATATGGGTGTGCCATGCATCTGCAAGTGCTTGTCTTCTGTCATTTCTGGAAAATTTCTGGTAACATTTCTGCATATATTGTCTTCATTTTTCCTCATTGGTTCAGTGGTATCTCCACCTGTTACATGGGACGCTGGGGTTTAAAAAAAAAAAAAGAAATGCAAATATTGCCTTTTTATATTCTCTCTTTGCTTTCCTTCTGGAATTCTGGGTGGAAATATATTAGACTTCCCATTCTGTCTTCCTCGTCTCTTAAATGATTTTTATATTTTCCATTCTCATTGGCTCAGTGTTTTCTGGATAATTTTATCAGCTCTGTCTTCATCAGTTCAGTAACTGTATCTTTTACTCTGTTGTTTTATACTCCCTTGAGTTTTTTAGTTGAGCAGTTATGCCTTTTGTTTCTGACAGTTCATGGTTGTACTTTTCAAGCATATCTTGTAATTTCTAATAATCTTTTGTTGCTGTTCTCGTTTTTGTGATTCCCAACTTTTATCCCTTTAAAATTTACAAGTTGCAATTCTGAATTTTTTATCTGATTTTCTGAAATCCTTTGGGGATCTAAACCTGATATTTGTTGTTTCTGAGACTCTTATACATGGTGATTTATTTTCTGTAGTGTTTGTGATGATTTATTATGAGTTCTAGCTGGCTGATCTTAATCTGCAGAAAATGTGGATTTCTAAATTGATGACATTTCAACAGCATGTTTGCATTTGTTTCTTACACCGCATGGGAGTGCTACTTTAATCCTGGAGTCTTGGTCTCTTGCCACTGGCAGTGGTACTATTGGATTTACCCTTGCAGTAGCCACATGTCACTGCCCTGGTTTTCTGCTCACTTTTAAGGGTTGTAGTGATGATTTCTTGGAAGTTTCTTTTACTTCCTTTGAGCCCCAAATTGCAACTAAAGTTTTATGTAGGATCTGTTTCTATGGCTAGAGGATATATATACCCTCTAGATATATATCACTAGATACATATACCTTAATAACCTTCTAGATATACACACTAGATGTATATCATTCTTCTTTAAGGCTGTATAATAATTTTTTCATATAGTGTTAATCCTCTAATTTTCTAAATATTTTATTCATGGCCTGCTTTCTTTTTTTAGCTTAATAGTTATTTTTTCTTTTAATTTTTTTCCAGTTTTGCCATGGTCAACATTTGTGGGCATTCCTTTTTTAACTCTACATCTTGTTCCCCCCTTAAACTCAAGGTTCAAGGCCCACAGGCAGCTGTGTCTTTTTAGAAGGTCTGCATTTCTTCTTATTTTGTCTTCTTCACCGGGCTTCTCTGCATGGCTGGTATAACCAGCATCTCTTCCTGTACATAGAACTTGCTGATTACCACCCAGTACTTCTGCCTTGAATCTCTTCTGTCTCCCTCTACACTTCATGTCCATTGCCATCTTGAACAGCTCTCCTATAAAACTGAGCCAATTAAGACACAGTTTATTCTGTATACCTTTCAGAGACTGTTTATTTGCATATTTTGCTTATATACATTGTAATTATTTTGTGTAATTTGTATATGTTTTGTCTCTCCAAGCAAATTATAAGTTTTTAGAGGATGCAGATTGCCTCCTGATTTTTTTGAATCCTGTGAGTTAATACAAGGTTAAGCATGCTCAGGAGAGTTTTGTGCACACTTAACTAGGAAGACACTGAATGAACCTTTTAGAATCTGGGATGGAGTTTGTGCCTTGCCTACCAGCACACTTACCATTTGTGTGCATAACTTAATGCCTTCCTAGAGCATTCTGTTCACTATATATGTGTGCTTGACCAGAAGAACAAATAGAACTTTAAAAGAAATCTCTTGCATATAATTTGGCATTCCTTCTTAGATCAGTTTAATTGGATGTAAGTTGACAAAGTAGAGGATATAAATAAAAGTTTCAGATCTTGAGTAACATAAAGTTAAATATAGTAATTTGTGAAAATATATCCTTCAAATGGAAAACATCAATTTATTTAGCTATTATTATTGTTCGTTTCTTTTTCTTTAGAAATTTGGGCTAGAAACTTAAGTGTTATAAAAATGAAAACTTTCCTGTAGTAAGTGCAATATTTCTTTTTGTCTGAAGATTTTAGTTCGAAGAAGCAGCAGCCCTGCTGAATTGGATTTGAAAGATGATTTGCAGCAGACACAAGGAAAATGTAGGGAAAGACAGAAGAGTAAGTTCCAGGAAATGTCTGTTCCTCTGACTATAGAGTTGATATGTTCTATTTTCTTTTTACGTTTTATTATTATTACTATTATTATTATTAGAGACACAGTCTCACTCTAGCCCAGGCTGGAGTGCTCTGGCACAATCATGGCTCACTGGAGCCTTAACCTCCCCAGGCTCAGGTGATCCTCCCACCCAAGCTTCCTAAGTAGCTGGGACTACAGGCACATGCCAATGCACTCGGCTAATTTTTCTGTTTTTTTTTTGTTTTTTTTTTTTATAGAGATGAGGTTTCGCCATGTTGCCCAGGCTGGTTTCAAACGACTGGGCTCAAGCCATCTTCCCACTTTTTACCTTCTAACTTGAGTAATAGCTTGTCAATTTGAGAGAGATGGTTGTGAAATGGAACCTTCTTATTCCTGGAATCCCAGGATTGACAAAAGGTTCATCCATACATACAATAAAACAGTTCTACTCACCTGTACCTTGAGAGGCCCGTCTTTCTACCCCTGGGCCTTTCTCCAGGAGAGTGGTACATCAGAGGCTGATGGCACGAGTGAGCAGATAGACCAGAGAGAAAAATTATCTTCCCCAGAAAGTTCCCAGAGGCTAGAAGCAAAAAGCATCAGAAGTACATTGAAGTTAATGGGATAAATACTTTGAAATGAAATGAGGTTGGAATCCTGAGACGTATTATCATATACTGTAAAACACAGCCTTAGTACTCCGCTTTCCTGAAGTCAAGTGCCAGAGTAGCATAGTAAACACCGTCTCAAGTTCAGAACAGTTCTTGATGGGTGCAGAGGAGTTCCACCTTCACCCTGCTGTCTTAGAGCCCTTTGGGAGATGAAGTTTGGTACCTACCATTGGTCACCTGGTTACTGAGACAACTTTCAGTTCTTTGTGGGTAAATAGAGGACAGCAGATTAGAAACAGCAAGGGTAAGGGACTATTAGGAGCAGATACAGAGAGCAGCCATAAGGGTGAGCAGACAGAGATGTAGCTGCATAAAGTTGTTATGAAGTAGACAGGAGACTTTGAGAAGCAGAACTGTCTAGGTTCATTTTATGTCAGACTAAATAGTTCTATACGTCTTCATAGCCCAGCCTTATTATATTATGACAAATTAGAACTTATTAATGTTTAAAGGGGAAAATTTCTGTTCTAGAAAAATCTGTTGTATTGGGACACTCTATCCCCAAATGACCCTGAATGAATCACCCTAGGTCTACATCTACCCATCAGGCTTGGAGCATACAGCATCTTTAGACTCTTCTACCCAGTAGAGTAAGCTTGCATTTGTGGTGGATTAGTTATTATCTTCTTCCTCCATCCACCCTCATTTTGTAAGTCCCAGCACACTTTAGGACTTGGTGTAGTTTGGGTATGGGGGCACTGAGTGAAGACACATTGAAGAGTGCCACTTGAATGATACATAGTCGTGTTCATAATAGATATTTATCTCCTGTATTTGAAAGATTAATTTTCTTGACCACATGGGCACTTTATGAGCTCCACTCAAGTTCTACAGGTTCTGCCAAAGAACCTGAATGATTCCTGCTGTGTCTGCTGTTTGGTTACTTTCATATGAGTAATTGTGAACATTCTGATTTTCAGCTACTTTTTATCTTAAACTTTGGTTCTTCCGTTGTACCAGGTGAAAGTACCAACAGTGACACAGCTCTGGGCTGTATCAATGAGGCGGAGCTGTCCATGGGCCCATGGCAGACCTGTGAGGAAGACCCAGAGCTGAATACTCCCACAGATGTTGTGGCTGATGCGGATGCTCGTCATTGGTTACAACTGAGTCCCACTGATGCTTCGAATTTAACAGGTGAATTGCATTTTGGAAAAGAGGCAGTAGTGCAAACAGCTAGGAGATCAGTTGTGAATCCTTGGAGTCCTGTATACAGAGGGTTCTGAAACAGTTGTAGGAGGAAGTGTGCCATGCTCCTGACCACTGTCCACCGTAGGAGAAAGTGGTGGTATTCGTGTTAAGCCTTTATCCCTAAGTGAATTGTTCTACTCTAGAAAGAAGAGTGATTTTTCCAACTCATATATGTTGTAAATCCAGGATAAGTCAAGGAGTTTAGATAGCTTATTGATTAATTTTTTAAAATTTTTAAATAAAGTATTTGGTACATAAAATGTAAGTTGTAACATGTACAGTATGTAAGTTACAAGGGACAGTAATGAAGTGAACACCAGTGAGTCTGCTACCCAGCTTAAAAACTAGCATGGCACCCAAGCCAGTGAGGTCTCCTGAGGTGTTTCTCAAGTCCCTCCCCTTCTCCCATTATTTTGGGACCCTAGCCCAAATTTGTTTTTATAATAATTTCCTTGATTTCTTTATAGTTTTACCATGCGTGTCAAGCAATATATCATTTAGTTTTGTTTCTAAACTTTAAAAATAATGACTTCATACTCTGTATTTTTTGCAACTTTTTAAATCTCAGATTGTTTAACTTCAGAGCCAAACTTTCTGGGTCGGCTTCCAGGCACTTCTGAGGAATTGCTGGGTGACCTTGAGCTAGTTATTTAATCTCTGTCCTTCTATTTCTTTGTCTTTAAATTTGGGATAATAACCCCTACTTTATAAAGGTTGTTGGAAGAATAAATGAGTGAACATCTAAGTCAGGTGCACAAAATAGTGTGTGTGGAGCAGTCTGCAGTTTTAGCTACACACACACACACACACACACACAGTGTGACACTGGGTAAGTGAACCTCAAAGGCTAAGTTCCCTTACCTGTATGACCAGTCTGATGAGAACAGGGAGACCATGGAGGAGCTGGGTTTGGTTTTGCTTTGTTTGATGGAGTGTTAGGAGAGACTCGTGCTCTGAGGAATCAGTGCGGGAAAGGCTGACCAGAGCCAAGACTTTTCTAGCTGCACGTTCATGTTCACACATAGATACCGTGTATGAAAACAACCACCACAAAGTAACATGTTAAGTAAAGAGAGTTATTAAAATTCCAAAATATATTTTAAAATGATTAACATAAAGGCTAAAATTTTACCTTAAATGGATTTTTTTCAAACCAAGCAAACTAGTTTTCACTGTGTTGTAAAATTTAACCAACATCTCTGATATTTGGGAAATTCTTGATAGAATATCATTAAAACTTCATGAAAGTAACATACAAAGGTAGTATTCAATAAAATTCTTTATAGACTAATAATGACTAATAATACTATTCATTGATACGAGATTTAACATTTACAAAGAATTTTGAGGCATTCTCTTTGATTCTGTATCGGAAGCAGGCCAAGCTTATCATGTCTGTTTTAGAGAAGGGGAAATTGAGACCCAGGGAAATTGTTATCAAGCTGGAGTGTGAGTTCCAGGGATGAAACTGACTTTCAAAGTGTTTTGACTCAACATGCAGTGCTGTGTCCACTCCTTTACACTGTGTTCCTGTTAAAATTAAAATTATTGTAAAGCCCTTTTACCTACTTGAGAATCCTTACAGATTATCCAAGAGAAACTCATCATCGTGATACCGTAGGAGGCAAAACTGAAGCTTCAGTAGGTTGAATTTACTTAAACATGGACTAGTTTTAATTATTTTTATTGAAAGGGAAGAAAATTAGGTGATTACTTCTTTTGTCTGTTCTTTGGAAAGATTAGTTTTGATCCCATTTCAGGTTATGTATTGGACAGCTCAATTTAATAAACCTCTGTGAGGTAATGTTATATGATGTACTCCATGTTGTGATTAACTCCTCCAAATACTTAGTTCTTCTTTGAAATACTAATATAGAGAATCAGTACATGCAGTTCAATAGTTCACCTTGTCATCTGTGAAAAGGACAAACTGTAATGTGAGAAGGTTTAAGGATTATCACAATTCTGAATTTAACTTTCTGTTCTTAAGAGAACAATTTCTTCATAAATGTTCAAACTAAAACTCATATGAGCCTGATTTTTAGGACATTTTGAGAAACAATTTGAGTATATCTTTGTTTCTTGTTGAATAATCCTACCAGTTATCAAATGCTTAGAATAATAAACTGCCTCCAAAATCTTAAATTCCTTCATCACTGGCAAACTAACAGTTTACTTTTATATTTGCTTTCTCACTTAAATTATGTTTCCTGAAAATAACAGCTAAATTTACTGTGCATTGTCTTAAAGTTTACCTGGGATTTGTTTTAATCATATGTGGTAAGACATACAGATATGGAGGTGATTGTCATGGAGGAAGAATTTTCTACTCACAGATCCTGGAAACAGGGGTCATGCAGGGAAGTACCAGGAGGCAGAAGGAACAAAATGGGGCAACAGCCTTTAGTGTCATTTCTATGAAAATAGCAAGGCAAGGCAGGGTATGCAGATTTAGGATTGCTAGTATGAATGACTTCAGTGGGCTCTGGAGTATACGGGCTATTTCTACTTGCCTGGTACCCACCCAGTCCTCAGATGACAGGGCAGAGGTTATTGACTTAGTATGTGAGAACTAGAGAAAGGAGGTAGTTGGAGGGTCTGAATTTTGAATTGGTAGGTTTGAATATGAAAGACCTGCTGCCTGGTGAATAGACTTCTATCTCTAGGAATTAGCTAACCCTGGAAGTGGCAGTGCTTCCCTGATCAGTGAGGCCCTAATGCCAGAGCATTGAGAAAACAGAAAATAAGAAAATATAGTTAATACATACATACATTTAGTTCTGTTGAAATAGTCAGGGGAGGGGGACATTTATGAGTCTACAGCTAAGAATCAGTATTGTCATTTACCTCATCCCTTGTTTAACAAATAAGCTTATAGTCTAAAATACTGATTTAGATGCTATGAGAAATAAAAAGATGAATAGGTCATAAGCTACTATAGTTTTTAAGTGCTTACAAAAAGGACAGAAGACACAACATTTATCCTAATAGTCACAGATAATGTGATAAATTCTATGAAATTTACTTAAAGTTGTAATCATAGAGATAGACAAATAGATGGATGGAACAGAAGATAAAATACAGAACTGAGTGCACACAGACATGGAATCATGACATATGATATATGTGGCTTGTCAGGGCTGACAAGGAAACAATGTATTGTTCAACAAATTTCTGTGGGACAGGTACTTAGCCATATGGAAAAAAAATGAAATAGAATTCCTACCTCATACTATGTCCAAAGTCAATTTCAGAGGGATAAAATATATAAATGTGAAAAGGAAAATTGAAAAACTTGGAAGAAAACATCTTTTTGAAAAGGGTCTATGATTTTTTTTTTTTTTAAAAAAAAGCTAACCATAAGAAAAGTGTCAGTAATTCAACCTCAGCAAAATGAAAACTCTATTACCAGATAAACTTTTAAGAATTCTGTGGTTTAGCAGAACCACAAAGGGAAAAAACCAGCTTTGTTGCTCTTTCCTTTCCATGTTCTTGTTAGCTCAGTGATAAGTTTTAAGGTAAGGTTTGGTGAGAAATGTTATCCAGCATCTTGGTTTAGTTGGGAGATTCCAAGGTCTTTCTCTACTGGAATGCAGACTCCAGGAAGGGGAGGCCTGTTATCTGCTGTCTGCACAGCTGATTCTTGCTTCCAGGAATAGTGCAGGACAGGAGAGAAGCATTCAATAAATACTTGAATCAGTGAACAAATACACTTTAAGCTGCAAGCTGTTGTTTTATATAGCTGAAAAGAGCAATTAAATTTTAATTTTTTAGAAATAATATATAAGACAATTTCAAAATCTCTTTTATTTAGTGTGTTTATCACAGTCTTGCATCCAAACATTACAGAAATCTTTTTACCACTTCTGCTTTTAGTTATAGCTGTGAAAATGAATTACATCTCCTGTTACCTGCCACTAAAATTGTTTTTCCAAGAATGCTTTGTCAGCATTCTCTGTCATCACCTATATTTTTGGCATTTTCACCAGACTTTGATGTGTTTAGAAGTCATGAAATATTAGAAAGAAAAATAATAATGATAGCTACTGGGACATTGGTAGCTCACCTTCTAAAATCTTTGCAGTGAACAGTGGACATCCTTGCAAAGGAGAGGAAGAAGGAGAGGAGAGCCAGGCTGCACTGGTGGGAATGGGATGCCACCTTGCTGCTTCTCCACTTGATCATTGACATCCAGGCCAGGCCTGAATTTTCTGGTGCTAGAATTAAGTTGTTTCACTCAGGCCTTTGAGTTTGTTTTTTGTGTTTAGATTTCAAATCAAAAGGAAAATTTGTTTTCAAAGACTGAGGCTACATTTCTTTAACACTGTGCCAAGCTTATGTGAAATCGTAGCCAAATAAAATCACCGTTCGGCCATAAATGCTTATTTTGCCTATTACCGAGACTTATTTCGTGGCTGAAATCCTTTCTATATTTGCAGAGTTCTAAACTTTTAGATCTCTTTGTAAAAATTATTTATGTGTTTGGAGAAAGATGATACGATTATGCTTGTAAGAGTTTTCACTTTAATAAAAAAATTTTAAGTTGTAGCATTAAGTAGTAATAAAACAAAAAGATAGTAGGCTAGCATACTAGATTGCTAATGAAAATAAAATAAACTAAATATTGGATATTTTTAGGGTGAACGTGAAATTTTCTGAAGTCTCCCAAATCCCCATTTTTAATTAAGTGCTCCTTCACTGAGGAACCCTCTACATGTAAAATGTCAGCATCTGTTCTCTCACTTATGCTACCAGCAGAATAATTTTGGGCAAAACATTTCAACTCATTAACATTTTTGTTCATAGTAATACTGAGGAAACTCATACAGGCATCTCAGGAACTCCTAAAGAAGTCAGCATACTTTGATAATTTTATGGAGGATGTTGCCTAGGATTTTATCATCGAAGCATGAGTTTTTCTGAGTGTAAAGCAGTATTTAAGCAGA